ACCATATGACTGATGATGCTAATCTACCACAAATAGTAAATAATGAAATGAAATCAAAAATACACTTTTATTTTCAAATCCTAGATCTTGAAAGATACAATAGAGCCAAATGTGAGGTACTGTTGAAATAATTATGTCAGTGTTAGTCATGCTGTTTTCTCTTATAGAAACTCCTGTAGGTAAATTCCTTATCATTAAAATTCAGCCTGGGATGGAACATCAAAAATGACCTTTACCATGGAAATCCTCCGTGTTTGTTGGCAGAATTTCAAAACATCCATAGAGATATATTGGCAAAAACAATAGTAAACAAATGAGCTGTGGAACAACCGATAAGCTGCCGGGTCACTATTAGTAAATACGTTTGTGTCCGAATACTTTTGAATGAACGCCAAGTTCAGTATTTAGCATTTGAGAATCTCCATTGGTTTATCATTAGGGTAGCTGAAAATTCTATGAGATGTGACAACACAATCCTAAGCTCTATAAAATCATGATAAAAGTTAATGTGAGGAAAACTCATAAAATGTAAATTGTTCCAACCGGGATTCCAGCTCCTTGTAATCATTTTCTTTTCCTTGATTGCTTTGACAAATGTTTATCACAAATAATTCAACAGAAACTACTGCCAATCACTATTCAGTCAGAGTGCGCTGACACATAACTGGAGAATCACAGTGCATTATGATAATAGAATGCCAGTGTAATTTGACAGCAGGGGAGAATGGGGAGCTTAAATGGCGCTACTCCTCCTCTGTGCTCTGATCGTGTGTGGATGGTTCACCTTATTGTTTCTGTGCTGGTTCATAGTTGTGCCTCCATCTGCTCAGACTTGTCTTCGCAATAGCACTTTACTCACATAGGCAACAATATGTGTCAGGTAAAGCTGTGTTTTGACCATGCAGGGTGTATAATGTTTGGGACAATATGTATGTTGCCACTATAGAAATTGAATCACTTAATGTGGACTTATGTAATGAGAATAAAGATTAGCTTATCTAGATTTTTGTCTTCATTGTTTCATAGGACAATAATTCATATTTGCTGATATCAGTTTGAAAATTCAGCGGCAAAGACCACAAATTGAACATAAGTGGGAATAAAGTTTACAAATTAACCTTTTCCTCCTTTAAAAATTCACAATCAAAGTATTTTCTCAGATATATCATCCTTCTATTTCAATTAAAAATAGAAAAATATTCACCCAATATCTTTTTACCCTTTTTGTGACACCATCCCTACTATTACCAATATTAGCAATGATATGTGGCCAACAAGAACAACTTGTCCCCAGACAACAGACATCTGTAAATATACAATCACATTGCAATTTTGTCTGCATATGCATGTAATATGTTGTATAGATTAAGTAAAGTTCTAGCAAGAAAGAGTTTCATTGCATAATTTATATGTTTTCACTGTGTACATTTCTTTGAATCAACAGATTTTTATTGTCTTCAGTGTATAAACAGTAATCTCTATCAATATAATAGCTTCTCCAACCAAACAATACCCAAGTTGATGCTCAAACTTAGTTCGGCGCATTTTGCTAAACGGCATGAGGCCTGTGTGGTTTCCTGTAGGCCCATGGAGCTCAGTGGAGACTTCCTCCCAGCAGCAGCGTGACATTCCTGCTTCACAACTGCTGAGAAAAACTGGTCCAACATAAGCAGATACGATTTAAAGAACAATACTAAACATTTTCTGCTCCTCCCGTCCAACCAGCCCAGTATATTACACTGGAGTGGACCTAAAGTGGTGCGATGCATTGTAAGAGCCCTCTTGTGTGTAAGCGGAGCTCCTGTTTTGTAGGTACAACATGTATCTTTTGTAGCGGCAGGCTGTGCACAAATACCAAGCGCAGAGAGGCTGTTGAACTTTGAAAATGTCAGCTAGTGCCCCTCATACACAGTAGTATCATCTCAGTCCCCCTACTCCTCGCCTGTGTGCATCTTCAAACTTTCATTGTGCTCATGGTGACCTAGCCCAGTCCCCTTTCTGAAGGCACGAGCTCCAGGCACGAGGAGAGCGCAGAATAGAGGCTCAGTTCAAACAGCAGTTCAATAGTGACCTTGGCTGCTCAGTTCCAGTGTCCGAATAGTGACAGAAATAGACAAAAGGCGTGAGCTTGTTAGCGCTGTGACCAAAGCCGGACTGTTAAAATAGACTATTATAACAGGAGAATTTGTTTTTTGATGTATTTTAGTCTGTGGAGCTGTCCATGGTGCTGAAATACAATGTGGTGATACTATAAATCTGTTTTACTGTATTCAGTTACATAATCTTGGCAACAGATCGCTATAGTTTTTATTTGTGACACATGGTTATTTTTCATCTAAAAAGCTTAAATTGTATTATTTTGTAGTTGTTTAAATGTCAGGCAGCTCAGATTTAATTAATGATGGTAAAAAGTTTTAAGATAATGTTTCTTAAATCAAACTTCAGAATAACTTCACAACTTTGATTGACAAGTGCTTATTTCAATTTTCTGTCTTCATGTTATAAAGCTAAAGTACATTTCTTTTATACTTTTATGCATACATATTCTTCTCAAAATAATTTCCTTTACTGTTCATACGGCATTATGCGCCTCTCTGATTGTTTACATGTTTTGGTGTATATGCTACAATGAGCAGCCGCGTCTGATCTCCCTTGGGTCATTGCAGAGAAATGCAAAATACATACTGTGAATATAAAACAATGTTATTTAGTCTTATATGCATGGGTTTCAGAGTAAAGGGAATTTAGCTCTGTTGCCATAGCACTGAACATCGTATGAGCTAATTATTTTCTTTATCTTTGCATTTTACTGGGCGTACAACATGTGTATTTGTTTAATTGTGTATGTTTTTTGTTGCAATTCATCTGCCCTGCACTGGACAAAGGCCCCATTGACTGCTTAGTGACAGTAACTCTGTCTTCTGCATATTATGTGTGGGCAAACTCCAGTTGTTGACTCCTAACCTTCTCTCATGGCCGCTAGCAGCTGTAAATAAAATAATATTATTGTGTGAGCCTCACCTCAGCTTCCTTACTTCCTCTCATTTTCTAAACCAGTCTCAGGGGGGGCGCTTTGTAAAGCTCTTGAGTGCCCCCATGTGGTCAGTCACTGCATTTGTTTTCCTGCATCCTGTGTGACCTCTGTGCTGTGGGAAAAGTCTGTTTTAATTACAACTTGATTCTGGCCTCAGGTGGGGGAGCATGTAAGCCTCACTGTGGGTATAAAGGTGAAGTGTAGAGGACTCAAGCTAAAACCTGCTGGTGGAAAAGTCAATAACGTATCAGCAAAACAAAGTCAAATAAAAGTAAATGTTGCAACACTACTGTTCTTTGACTACTAACAAGTATTGAGTAATATGTTTTGCAGAGGTGGAAGGGGTATTCAAAATGCTGTCAGCTAATTTTAAACAAATGAAACAATTCAACAACAATTACCACCATCCAGCCTCTAATACGACAACAATGCTGCTGGAGAATAAGCAGGTTGCTCAGTAATTGGACAGTTTGTCTGCTTTATAACATTAAGCATTTGGAGTATGTTTACTGAGCCCATATTGCATTATTTCAATTCTTATAATGTTCTGTTCCACCTTGTGATAATACAGGAGATGCCCCACCTTGTTTTTAAAGTCTATAGACCTTCACAAGAAACATGTTTGAATAAAACAAAACACAACCCCAGGTATGTTTTTGATGAGGTAGCATTATAACAGGATCAAAGGTTCTCAAGTGTTAATTTTGTGTACTATAGGACCTTTAAGTCATGTGGTTGCAACAGGCTTGGCATCCAATCTTAAAATCTGCCAAACATACCAAGGTCACTAAGTAAAGCTGTGCAATTAATTGAATTGTGATCGCAATTTTGATTCATGTGTCAAACAATCTTCAAACTCATATAATCTCAAACTCAAAAAATCTATTTCTAGGGTGCACTCACACTAGGATTTTAGAACCGTGCCCAAGCATGGATCGCCCCTAAAGCACGGTACATTTGTCCAGTGTGATGACGTTTGTCATCAATGGGACTTTAGCCTGGTTGGAGGAAGTGGTACAAAGTATGGCCTGGTTGCTCATGTACGTGCACACACACAACTTTACTTTACGTTGTCAGGTGCACTGATGTAACACTCATATGATACAAACAGTGAATGAAGTGTCTAAAACACACAGTGAATCTGTGCTGACCTTCAATACGGACTGTGACAGAAACAAATTTTGCAGCATCATCTTCAGCTGTCCTCACTTCTCCTCCTGTCCTCATCTCCATCTGTCCTCACTTCTCCTCCTGTCCTTGTTTCCAGCTGTCCTCACTCCTCCTGTCCTCGTCTCCAGCTGTCCTCACTTCTCCTCCTGTCCTTGTTTCCAGCTATCCTCACTCCTCCTGTCCTCGTCTCCAGCTGTCCTCACTGCTCCTCCTCTCTTCATCTCCGACTGTCCTCACTCCTCCACACCGTTATTATATCCATAAACTCATGGAGGAGTGTGTATCGCAGCAGGACTCATATCTGCCTCACTATTTAATAGATGTTTCTGCCACTGGACTTATTTTCTCTGCTAAAAGCTTTAGCTCTGCTGCACCACATGTAAACAAACAGTGTCGTGTCGTGATGTCATTGACCATGGCCCAGTTCAGTTGTGCAGGTGTGAGTGCAAAATACAGTAGTTTGACTACAGTTGTAGTCTATATTCATTTTCAATTTAAAAGTTTTGCATAAATTATCAATAGCAAAGTGTTTTTAGAGAGAGAAATGCTGAATACATACATTGTGTGACTAAAAATAATCGTTTATATAATTCTGATTTCAGTATTGGCTAAAATATTTATGATAATGATTTTTTTCCATAATCGAGCAGCTGTATCACTAAACTTAATTAAACTCAAATTTATTTTTTAAACGAATAATGAAGTGCATCTCTCCAATTAAAATTAAGCTCATTGCACTGACAAAGTATCCAAGTTTCCTTCGCCCTTCCTTACTCTTTGTGTTTTGTCTGTGCAGGTAGTACTCTGAACCTGACGTGCAGAGCCTTTTTCGGCTACAAAGGAGAAGCAGCGCCGATCATGTACTGGATGAAAGGGGAGAAGTTTGTGGAGGATTTGGATGAAGAGCGAGTTCAAGAGAGCGACATCAAGTAAGACATCTTACCATCTCACTAACCGGCTGTAAACATGTGCAGAGCTGTCCTTGGTCCTGAAAACACCTTCTCTTGTCTATATCAATATGGAAGTGTGAAGCATTCCTCTTTCTGGAGTAGGAGCAAATCACAGTGAGACATTTAAGAGATAAATAAATGCTGTGAGAGGGTTTGACTGCTTTAGGTCATTAACTTCATATTTGAAATGATAAATGCATGGAAAGATTTAGTCACTGTCTTCAAAAGCTGCTTCCATTGTGTTTGTGGTTTTCATATCTTGCAGATACGAAGCTCATTAGAGAGAATGAATATGTATTTTGGCACTTTTAGTTTTATTAGGTACAATAAACATGTCAACTGCCAAGGAGGCTCTGTGCAACATCGTTATCTTTTATTACTCAATAGGAAGTAATGATATCCAAATACAGTTTAATGCTAATGGCAGCCAGATAAGAATGTGTATGTGAATAGGATAAGATACAATCAGATGCAACAAACAAGAATATTATACCTTTTCATGATAATATATTGTTTCCATGGCAATTTAAAGTATATAGCAGGTAAATTCTTTGCTGTTGGAAAAGTTTCATAAATCATATACTCTGTTTGCACACTCTGGTGAACTCATGACTGCATGTAGCGCTAATTCTTCCTATTCATTTGATGCTTAAAGTTCAGAGGGTCTTTAATAATAGTACATAAGCATATTCTGTTTTTCCCTCTTTACTTTTTTAATTGCCTAGTAGTAGTACTAGTAGTAGTGGTACTAGTTGGTAGTAGTGGTAGTAGTAGTTGTAGTAGTAGTACTAGTTGTAGTAGTAGTAGTAGTAGTAGTGGTAGTAGTAAAAAGTAGTAGTAAGTGGTAGTAGCAGTAGTAGAAAGTGGTAGTAGTAGTAGTAATAAAAAGTAGTAGTAAGTGGTAGTAGCAGTAGAAGTAGTAAGTAGTAGTGGTAGTAGTAATAGTTAGTAGACAATAGTAGTTATCGTAGTAGTAGTAGTAGTAACTGTTATGGTAGGTGTAGTAGTTTCCTGTGTTATCACTCAAATAATCCAGATGTTGCACATAGCAAAAGAAAATTAAATTCTGTCAACTGGGCAAACATTTTTAAAAGAAAAAAAAAAAAAGGCAAAATAACATTATCTTTTGCTTTAAGAGTTGTAGTGCTTGTAGTAGTTGTAGTGGTTGTAGTTGTAATCAGAGTACTAGTCCCCTCATAAACCATTTATCTGAAGGAAGAAGGAAGAGTAGAGTTAATGGATTTTGGTTGTGTGTTTGATTAAGGAATAAATTTTATTACACAATATACAACATTCACAGTTTTCTACATCTCTATTTGTCATGCTCCTCCATCGTATATACATAAAAACCTGGACAACCTACCTCAGTTTGTAGCGTATGGGAAAGTAAACAGCATACAGGACCAATATCTCTCACATTCCCTGCCCCCATTTGCTTTAGCAGGTAACATTTCTCTTTTTGGAGCTGATATTCCAAACTAACCCATCTCCGTGTCATTTCTCGTTTTGTCGGTGTAGGACACATTTAAACAAGTGGCTCTCCAAGTGTATGTGCATGTTTCCCATTAGAGCTGTTTGGAGAGGCTGCAGCTCGGGGGAGACAGGCCTGTCAGATGGTTAACAACCGCCATTTTTCACACCACTGCCACTATCACTATTCCCCTGCACTGCACCCACCTGTACCAGCATGCAGATGGGCCGAGAGGGGAGGGGGACAGGGCACCACCGAGGAAATATTCAAAATTCTCTATTTTGGATTGGATGTGTGTGTCATTCACCATTACTCACTGGCCTCAGGATTTCCAACAGGCTAAAGGGAGATGTGCTTAATAATTCATAGACATACTTCATGCAGTGCTTCGATCATTTGCTATATGCCATCATCTTATCCTCCTCCTCCTCCTGGTGCTACTGTTTCTAACCACAGTTTTTCAATCCTTCGAATTACAGTTTACAGGGTAGTATTTTGGTCTATCCTTAGTCCAGATAAAACCGGATTTTCATTTGGTGAATCACTGCATTACTGCACTGTTACTGTAAAAGATACTAGATAACTCACTTTTGTAATGCTGGAAGGTTAGAGCTAAACAATAAAAAATAATGTATAAAGTAAGTGATGGCATAACACTGTTTCCTACAGAAAATTGATTAGGCGAGGCAGTAGAAAGTGAGGAGCGGGGGTGTGTGTGGAGATTCTATGCACGGAGAAGAAGTGAGGTTCCATGCGACGACCGTAGTTTTGCGAGGATTCACATGGTTCGGAGGGATGTAGTCAAGGTGGGGGCCCCTTGTTGCGGCCTTAAAGTGTCCCACACCTGATGTCACCATGGAGATCTTCTCTCTTTTGCATTTATTTAGGTGTTTAGCTTTAAAAATTACCTTAACAATCATCCATTCTTAATGTGCGCGTGATCACCTTTTCGCAGATCTGACCTGTAACTTAACATGGTGGCATCACCTGTTTGTCTCTATGGAGATAGATAATTAGTAGTGGTAGTGGTAGTGGTAGTAGTAGTGGTAATAGTAGTGGTAGTAGTGGTAGTAGTAGTAGGAGTAGTAGTAGTGGTGGTAGTGGTGGTAGTAGCAGTAGTAGTAGTAGTTGTTGTTGGTGGTAGTGGTGGTAGTAGTAGTGGAAGTAGTGTAGTAGTAGTAGTAGTAGTAGTAGTAGTAGTAGTAGTAGTAGTAGTAGTAGTAGTAATAGTGCTAGTGTTGGTAGTAGTGGTAGTAGTAGTAGTTGGTAGTTGGTAGTAGTAGTTGGTGGTGGTGGTAGCAGTGGTAGTAGTAATAGTAGTAATAGTAGTAGTAGTAGTAGTAGTAGTAGTAGTAGTAGTAGTAGTAGTAGTAGCAGGAAAAGCAGGAGACCTTCCATCAGAAAATGTGCATAGTGAACCTTTACCCTGTGCTGAATTGCAGTGTTTTTTAAAGTCGTTATTTGCATTAATACAAAACTGCACATGCATATGGATTAATTTGGACTTTTAACCACTGAATGTAATTTATTTTTATGTTGTTGTTGTTTTTCTTCTTCAGTGCACCTCATTGTTTTAGGTACAACAAAGAACCAAAGACACACAATATGACAATTATTAAAGCCAAATAGTGTTCTCTAGCTTTCTCCCACTCAGCCCACATGCAGACACTTTTAGCTTTCTTTGTGAAACTCCAGATCTTGACCTGAGAGGGAGGAGCATCTCATTTCCTTAGGCGTGTGTGTTAGCCCAACTTGGAGCATATTGATCCGGAGGAGTTCATTTCTATGGTAACCCAGCTCCATAATTTCACATTTACAGGAGGCGGTGGAACAAGGCTTTTTGCTGTTATCATAACTCGCTTGAATGGGCTTTTGCATAGGCCGATGCAGTGATTAAAATTAGCAATACAACACAAAACGTCTGTGGGAAAGGATCGATACGGAGCCGTGCAGTTGTTCAGAGAATAGATGGAATGTTATAAATTGACTGTACAAATTTGACAAAGAATTAATTTTAGTAGCAGTAGGATTTCTGTTCATTCATGTGTGTATCTAATTGTGCTTTTGTTAAAATAGGTAACACTTCCTCACAGCAGTTTTACACATACAGATATGCAGCTCTAAACACAGGGAGGGTTGAAAAATGCAATAACTAAATTATTTAAATATATATAAATTACAATTAATGCATTTAAGTATATGAATTAACTAACAATGTATACATTCTAAATTAAATATGTTATAATATAGGAGAACGAATATCATTACCCAATTAGAGAGTATACTTATTTATGCATCAATGTCCTGTGTTACATTTTAAAGAGTTTATATTACACTATTTCCTGATCTATGTTAAAATATAATGTTTCCTCTTCACAAACAACCTGAAGTGGTGTTTTGTTTCATTCACACATGTTTAACACCTAAAGAAACAGTTTGGAATTTTGGACATAGGACCTCATTTCCTAATTAGCCAGAGTGTTGGAGACGTGTGGAGACACTTTTTTAAATATTCCATCCAGTCCTTGTATTTGCAGAGATTGCTGGTGCTAGGCTAGTGCATGTCAATGGCCATAGTTATCCTGCCACTTACTCACTCCACAAAGCACCCGAAGCAAATCAATTATAATGCCAGACTATCGATGTAAATGTCTGTGTTGATAGAATAGTGTTTGAAATAAAACTAACCTTGTATCGCATGAATTGTCGCATGCTGAGGGACTATTTTCTCATATGTCAGTCCAACGCTGTCAAGCTTTCTATCAGGAAATACAACTCGCTGCTTCTGCTCAGACATAAATCCTTCAAATGCAAGGTTGGTTTTACTTTTAAAATTATTCTATCGACACAGACATTTATATCGACAGTTTGGCGTAATAACTGTTTTCCTTAAGTAACTGTTTTTAGTGGCAGGCTAACTATGGCCATTAACATGCACTAGCCTAGCACCAGCGACCTCTGCAAATACAAGGACTGGATGGAATATTTTAAAAAGGGTCTCCATACGTCTTCAACACTCTGGCTCACTAGGAAACGAGGTCCTATGTCCAAAATTACAAACTGTCCATTTAAACACATAAGCCCTGTATACTTAGGCTGAGTTCTTCTCTCAAACAGAAAAGACTTAGTTCCACCTTGTGATGACATGTGCCATTACAGGAAGTTCTCCATACACCTACACTAGAATCATTTAGAAGATTTCAACCCTGGAACTGCCAAATCTCTGCTGAACTAAAGGTAAAAGATAGCTGCTAACTTGAAAACTACCACACTAGAGAATTTTGATTTAGGGGGATGCAGACTGCCTAATAATCCAGGATTACTCAAACATGTGCTGATGAAACAAAACACAACTCCAGGCATGTTTTTGAGGAGTTAACAACATTTTAACATGACTTAAAGCTCAATAGTCAATTATGCTCAGTATTAGTTACAATAACTGGAACAGGTTTTAGCTACAGTATTGGTACCACTGAGGTAGTTGCATCTTGGTGCTTTCTTGTGTTTCAAGTGCCTCTGCACTTTGATGTGTATATATGGATTAACTAAATTATGAAACGACATGGAGAGATGAGCAGCTAATTGCCCATGTAACTAACCCAGACCTGCCCCCCCTTTCATCCCCCAAACCCCCACCCCAAGCTTCACTCATGAGCCCCACATTTAGCTTTGGTGCGGTCATTATCCACCGGGCCGGTCCCCATCAGCTGCGCCGGCTCGTAGCGTACATGCTAATATGAAGAGGCAGGCTTCAAAGTTCCCCGCCTTCCCTCGAGAGATCCATGAATTATTCCCATTGCTCCTTCTATCCTAGCGCCAACATTCCACAGTGGCTAAATATGCAAGGAAAAAAAGTCAAATATGGCCGTTGTCAGCCACTCGTAGTTAAAACCCATGATACACTTTCAATTACCGAGTCTAAATCTCTTCAACAAGGCGTCCTTATGTGCAGTTTATCGGCCTGAAGCAGTGACTGGAGAGATGCTTCATAGTCATTACCCCCCTACTTGTACTACTCTACCTCACACGTCGCTTTTATTAACACACGATATAGGCGAAAAATAAGCATGTGCAAATATATAAACAATTAACTTTCTCATTTGCACATTGTTGTTGGCCATGCATCACCAGTGCAGTGGAGGGCGCCGTTCAAAGTGGGCTAAGTACTGTGTATGAGGCTCAAGCAGCCCAGCGGGGGACACTCATTGACTTTATGGAATATTACTTTCTCTCCTTCCTTCCCCGTTACCATGGCAGCCGCTATAAAAAGATTTCCTCCTCATGGCCGTTATTTGATTTCCCCTCCCGCACCCGCCGAGGAAGAGCCCTTATTGATTTTCATTTCTCATATGTTTTGAGTGCAGAGAAAAGAATTAACATAGCGTGAAGTACTTACAGTAACACCGAGGGGGAGCCGTGCACATGTGGCAGTGGTCATGTTAGAGGGGCCATTTTACAATGAGCACATCGTATTGTGTATCACTGTGTATGTCCCATTATATTGATGTACTAAGTGATATCTTGTCATTTTTAACTTGTACCTTAGTGGGATTAAGTAGAACACAGCAAACAGTGGTGTGTTAAACTGACTCTCACAGAATCAATTTTAACATTTTCTCAGGGTTTATATGAGTCCAATCTGTTAATTGAGTTAATTTAACATTTTTGGAAGTGTAAAACTTTTTTGAGTTATCCCGATTTAGCTAAACAACAAACAGAGGTGCTTTATTTTTACAAATTATTTTAGTTAATTTAAGATGAAATTATGTACAAAACTGGTTCTAACTGGTCTGGAGTTTGAAGTAGTGGGTGGGAGGTGCCAAACATTAAGGGAACTTTAATTAATACTAGGGGAACATTAATTAACTTCAACCATATCAACTCAAATAAGCAACTAACCTTAAACCCCCATTTAACTTTCAAATAGTTTGAATAACACTTTTTGTGTTAAAAACAACTCTGAAATATTTTACCCTGAAATTGTATCCCTCCAGTTTTTGCTGTGAAGCATCAGTAGCAAATAGGCCATGAAGTACTTGTCGAAGTGTCTTATAGAAAGAGTCGAGTGAAAGCAAATTTGGATCATGTTTTAAAGAACCATGCAAAAATATTTTTGATGCAGGATTCACTATCTGCTTGTTTCCATGGAGATGTTATTCCTTTGCCCGGAATGGTCACAAGAATATCTTAAAACTTATCTGTCTGTCCTAGGAGACAAGCACTGTGCCAAATTACAAGTCAGATCTGTGAGAGGGGAGCCCTCTCCCAGTTTTAAAGAGTTATTTTAGCAATTAAAACTCCAGTAATTGAATAAATGCATGGTAGATCAATTTAATGTCAAACTGTGGAGTATTCCAAGCAAGCAAATGGCCGACCATCCAACAAAAAAGGTTACATAGTGCACCTTTAATGAAGTGCAATGAATGTTTCATGTTATTACTGGAAAAATATGAGAACTGTGCTTTCTGAATAGAGTAAGGCCATTTAATGTTTTATATCAAGTTGTTAAAGTCTTTGTTTGTGTTTCAGGGTTGTAAAGGAGCATCTGGGGGAACAGGAGGTGGTCATCTCCTTGACGATAGACTCAGTGGAGGAGGAGGACATGGGCAACTACTCCTGCTATGTGGAAAATGCCAACGGTCGGCGACACGGCACCGTGCAAATCCTAAGACAGAGTAAGACCTCTTTCACCACTCACCATCTCAGCCAAAATTATGGCTCAAACTTTCACACATTCCACTCCATATACTCTGTAGCTGCCATTTTATGTCTTCATTAAAACTATGTGAAAGATCAAATATTCAAGGCTCCATCAGCCCATCACTCAAGTGGGAATACGGCTCCGTGGATGTCTAGGGAGAACATAAACAGTTTCTTCAAAAACATTTGCATCTATGTTTCTGATCTTGGCTTAAGTTTGTTGAACCAACTGCAGCAATACATGTAAACGATGTTATATAATTTATTAGGAAAAACAAGTGTTGAACACCAACATTTGATTCAGTTGTGAAATATTATTATGGGTCATATCCTCATTTATCGTGACTATTTTATCATTATTGTTTTGGAAGTTTCTACTTCCTGTAGCCTTCATCAGAAGCATCTGACGACATTGTGATGTATCTTGTTGACTGCTTAAATTGTTTTGCCAAACAGTAGGAAAGCTTCTACAAATCAAACACTCCTGTACGACAAAAGAAATGCTGTAAAAAAGGCAGAATGGACCTTCACCACATATATTTAACAATGGCCTTGTGTGCATCTTTAATAGTGCACTAGTTTTTCAAATTTGTATTTGAAAGAATCAGAATTTTGTTTAACATTGAAAGCACTTCCCACACATATTCTTGAGTTTTTGAAAGAGACCCTGATCTCAAAAGGTGGACAGGGCTGAGACGAGACCACATCTGCTGCTCATAAAAGAGTTAGATTAGCTTTAGCAGATGAATATGGTAGTCCTAGCGTTGTTTGAAAATAAATGCACATTTTATTATAAACCATAAATGATTAGGTTTAGATTCACCTAAAAACAGATTTGAAATTGATGGCAACAAAATGGAGAAATGTTCAGCTCACACAGAACCAAATTTGCAGAAATGTAAAACCTTGAGCCATGCTTGAGCCAACTTTTCAAAGTGTTTTTGTGAGAGCCCAGTTTTGTCATCTCGAAGGCCACATCTCAAATAGTGCCGAGCTCACCTGTAAAAGTAAATGGGACATCTTCACAGCTTTTGTTTTGTGCTTGTTTGGCAGTCTCTTGTGCACTTTTCTCCACATTTCTTCTTCTTATTTGTCTAAAACTGTTTGCACACACTGGCTGTCACCCTTAAAGACTCACAATTTGATGGCTCTTTAAACACCAAATTGGTCTTTTTGCGTCCCACGATCGGCCAGCCGTTTTTGCCTACTACAATTACAATTCTCCAGTGCTCGTGTGTCTGTCAGTGAGCTTTAATCTACGCCTCAGTAAACTGCTTCTGTGGACTCGTGTGTGAGTGAGTGTGTGAGGAGCTCTCCATTTATTTCAAAGCTGAAGCTCAAGCTGAAGTCCGCTTCAAGATACTTCAAGTACAAACGCCGTCTTCCTCTCCAACGATAGTCTAATGTTTATTTCATGTATCTCTTTCCCAGAATGCATCAGTGGACAGTTGTATGGCCTGCAGCAGATCTGTGGCAGTCTCTGCAGGCCTCCCCTCTTCATATGGAAAAGAGGAATGCTGACAGGGAAAAGGGGGGAGTGAGACTGGAGGCTTAGGCTAGCATTTTTTATTTCAACATATTATTCATATAGTAATCTGTATGTATAGTATATGATTTGTTACTTGAGTAGAAGTAACAGTAAGTGCTATTTCTGAAACAACATCAAACTTTTTGAGTGCATCTACTAACCACTATTTGCTAAACTACTATTGTGACTTTTCTTTAATGACCACAATAATAAAAATAACAACTACAGTATTGTTTAGTTTTTTTAAATTCAGTGTATTTTTAGAGCCCAAAATCACAATCGCAGTTGCCTCTTAGGGCCTAACAACAACATCACTGATTTAACCAAGATAAAGTTAGAAAATCCAACAGTGAATTCGGCATAATGTCCAGTCTTATGTATTTGAAAATAGACCGAAGAGTATACAGCGTGGCGATGCAGATAATCTAATAATGCAGTGCTTGCATACACGTTGTCATGGTAACAGCTGAGCGTTGCAGCCCTCAGTGACAGATATATAAGGTGAGCTGTTCAAGCAGAGCCAGTCAGGTAAATGCCGCTTTAATACACAACATAAGTCATCCTTCCTTGAGCTGTGTCTCTGGGGCGATCTAGATGAGATAATAGAGAAGAAGAATGGAGGCGGGAGGGGAGAGAGAGAGCTAATACTTTACACAGAAGGAGTGAGATAAGTACTACAGTTTTAAATACAATCTAATCCTAAAAGTGTCCCAGTGTGGACTGCAGCCAAAGTGTGGAGCTGTGTCACTGCTGCTCTGCTCCAAAAGAAATCAAGCCAGTTTCTCATTATCTCTGGTTTTCTTATATAGACCTTCTTCTCCCTAAACTTGTTTTAAACCTGGTCTATTCAAGGTTATTACAGCTCTCCTACTTTCTCTGTTTAATCTAATATTATAAAGCTGGTAAAAGTGCTTGCTTGTTACATATTGGATGCCTCCTGTATGTTTTCTAAGTATAAAAAACACATTTGTGTAAATACAGCAGTAGTATTTAATGGTGTATTTGTGTGAAGAAAACATCAATAACAGAATTTTGCATACTATGTCATCTTACAGTGTATTTGTTTTGGTTGTATTGGACATTACAACATCCAGACTAGTTAAAAAAAGAAAAGTGGAGCCATTATTTGTCATCAGTCCTTTTTCTTGTCAGCTGAAAGGACTTTAAAACATAACTTTAAGACAGGCAAGTTTGTTGAGCCAGTCCCTAGCAAATAATGATACGAATCAGTAATCATGAGTTCGGATATTTCTTTCAAAAACTGTAAATTTCCTTTAGAGTTTTACAGGCCCCTGCGCTAAACCTAAAATTGTCACGTCATCAGATTCTGGATCGTGATAATCTATTGCTATAGCCCTCAGGTTATGCAAGGCAGTGTACCGAAACTAAACTGAAATTTGTACACAAGGTTGCATCATTTATTTTTACGTTTAAACTTCTGCAGCGAGCCATAATGTATTATTTATTTAGTCAGTGTTTTGTTTCTGTGAGCTCCAGTTGAAACTTACTGTTGCTTTGCCTGTGTGTTTCAGCAGAGTTGATGTACACGGTAGAGCTGGCAGGAGGTCTGGGAGCTATTCTTCTCCTTCTCATCTTCCTCATCTCCCTCTACAAGTGCTACAAGATCGAGCTCATGCTATGCTACAGGAGACACTTCGGCAGCGAGGATCTTGATGGAGGTAACGAAGGACCCTCTCCCTGTTTTGTCATTCTAACCTGTGTGTTTTCTTATTCAAAAAAGCTCATAAAGACTGGGTTAGTTGATTTATCTTCTCAATCCTCCATCGATGCGGTTATAGGGCTACACAGGTGACAGTGGACCATTTTTCTGTCTCTTCATTCTCCCCTTCTGGTTTGTAGCAGTGGTGGCATGTGTGATTGTGTAGGTGCAGTGGGCGCATAGGGAAGAGCCAAGACAGATTTTCAATTTGTTTCCCATTTAAAAAGAGATCAGTCTCAATACGTCACCCGATGATGTGTCCACCTTTCTCTGGTGTAGGGCCAAGAAGCAGTGTACAGAGACTTGTGAGGTTTAAAGCAACTTCCCTATTTAAGACACAAGAACTCTTACTCTTTTAGTTCACTGTGATAACACTACTTCTTTTGGAATACAACTACAAAACAGATAGAACATATGATAACACTAAAGTTTAGGAACCATGTATTAATAGCCAGCTAATGGTAAAATGCAAGTACACTTAAGTAGGCCTGTAAGTACTTTCAATGCATTTTTATCTAAGTCCATATTTTGCAAGTACTAAGCCATTAACCATTTTCTCCCCATTAAAGTAGTGGGGATTACTATAGATGTTTTCATACATACACTGAAATCTTAAAGGTTATATTTAAAAAAAATGACTCTTGTTATTTTTAAGCCATGTTATGATGTTACCTCTTCAAAAACATACCTGGACTTATGTTTTGTTTCTGTTATCAGTCTGTCTACATCTCCAAAGCTCAAAATGCTCTGTTCCACCTTATGATGTCATGAAGAGGTGGTTTTCAAGTTAGAGTTACCTATAATCTTTAGTTCAGTAGAGATTGGCAATTACAGGGCTAAAATTTTGTAATTGATCCTAGTGAGGGTGTATGGAGTTTAAAAACACAGTGGAGCACTTCCTGTATTACCACATGACATCACAAGGTGGAACAGAGTGTTTTCTGCCTGAGAGAAGAACTCATCCTAAATATGCAGAGTTTGTGTGAATGAAACAAAACACAACTCTGGTTGTTTTTGATGAGGGAACAACATTATAACAGATCAGAATATAGCTTAATATGAAACTCTTTAATAAGCATTAATAAATGATACATTTCAACTGATAGCTAAGTAACAGTTAATTAACAGTCAATTACCACTTGATTGGTGATAAACATGTGGTCCCTAAACTAAAGTGTTACTGAAAATATATTTCAAATGCTGGCTTTATTTAATTGTATCTTAAAGGTGTAAATAAGTCACATTTTTATATAGCTCCATTTCACCTTCAAGGTACTCAAAGCGCTTCACAACAAGGAACACACACATACACCATCATACACCAGTGTACGCAGACACTGGGGGGGCGAGGTGGGTTAAGTGTCTTGCCCAAGGACACAATGACAGCATTCATCTGTGGAAGCTGGAATCAGCCAACATGTGGGTCAGTGGATTTGACTGCTCAACCAATGATGTGTATGTTGAGAGTGGGGTTCAAACCACCAACTTTCGGATCAGTGGACAAACGCTCTACCAACTGTGTACTATGTATTTTTCTGGTGGAGGACCTTACACCAGTATAGCTTCATGGAGATGATGCTTTACCTGTAATGCTCCAAGGATGGCATGAAGAGAAGCATATGATATTAAAGGACCAAGTTAGAGGTCAGATCTGTGACAGGCAAGCCCAGCTCATTCACAGAAAAAATGCTTGTTAGGTATTTTTATCAGTAAACACCAGAAATTAAGTAAAGATTTAACACAGACTGTGGAACATTGCAGGCAAATGTATGCTACTACTAATATAATCTACTATCAAGATTGTTCATATTAATAGACTCTGATTGATTTAATTAGTTAATTTTCCATTACAGTGACAGAGAACTATTTTGGATTAGCAAAACGTGTAATAGGACTTCTAACTCTTTACTGAAAATCATTGCACCTCTTTAATTTAAGGCCATCAGGTACAAATCAATATCCCTATTCCCCGAATGCAAGCAACTTCTTTTTTCCTGAGCTGAACAGATAGATAGAGAAGAGCCAAATGTGCACCTCCTCCGTGTCCTGCAGCCCGGGCATCACAGTATCGTCCAGGCAGGTTAGGTGAGCGCAAAAGGAAAGCCTCTAAGCCTCGTTCTCACCTCTGTTGTTTTGGTCTGGAAGGTTTTCTGTCTATCACATTCACAAAAGCCTCAAAGGTCCATAGTTAGTTCCTTAACCAGCCTCCACAGTCTCCATAGATATGGGAAAAACAAACAGGTTATTTCACACAATCAAACTGATACTTTGCAGTGACGTCATGCTGGGGCTGTTCTACATGTATTTCTATGGTAGAATGTTCTGAGGTTACCACACATTAGCAAACAGTGTGAAAAAGGTTTTAAGATTATCTGTAAACCCAAGAAAAAAACAAACAAACAAACAGGATTTATGGAACAAAATGGATTTGTTCGTGGTCCTGTTTAGTTGTTTGAGGTGAGAGTGACTAACTGAAAAACTGTTGGCTAATGCCTGCGAGCTTGTGACTGTGATGTTATGTGCAAGATACTTGTTTAACAGCACAAATCAGCTCAACTGTTGTAGTTTTCACTAAGTTAGTTATTTATGGTCAGATTGTGATCAACTAAAGCTCAGATTTAAGTCTAACAAAGCCTCAGACAAAGCAGAGCCTGAAGTTTATATTTTACCCTAAGGGAATGTTGATGTTCAGCTGCAAATTACCAATAGTGCCTTACCTGTGTCCTTTAAACTGCACATGCTGCACTTTTTAGTTGTTTAAAATCCCATGATATGATGCTAAAAACTAAAAAGCTCAAACACCAAAAAGTTTCAAATCTGCTCAGTGCGTCAGCCAGTTAGCCAATTGGGCAAACTTTCCTGTGTATAATATGTCTGGCTCTCTTTTTCTAGTTCGATTCAGCTCTGTCATCTCCACGAAAATTGTCTGGAGCTTATTTTTGAATCTTGTTTCTTTCTACAATAGTATGAATTATCTATTACAGACTGTTTTGTTGACTTCCCCATGATTAAGTCACACAATCTGGGACAGTCAGAGAGAAATGTTTGATTCCCAGACTGAGCTATGGAGCTTAATTTGCAGAGCCTGGTTTGTTGCTAATTTAAAGGTTTTATTTGATGTGTTCGGATCGTACTGAGCACTTCCGTGGCCCTTCCACTTTTCAAACTTGCTCCTGTTTCTTTTTGTCTGGCCCATTTTTGGCTAATAACAAGGACCTGAAGATGTCACCACTGCTGCTCCGTTGTCTGTTCCCATTCTCCTCTGGGAAATCAGTCAGAAGTGGAGAAAGCAGGTTTTGGATATTTTTGTATTTGTAATAAGTGCATCAAATAAAACACCATCATGTCCCTCAGAGTTACTGTTGTTCATTCTGGATTTCACAATGTTCAAAATACAGAATACATGGACTTACTTGACATACTTACATTTTTGTTTGCATAATATTAAATCTGTATATTTGGATGTCTGTGTCAGCCTTGTCACTAAGGAAGAAGAGGGACTGTTGTCTAGAATAGTGGTCCCCAACCTTTTTTACTTTTAAGGACCTGTACATAATATCTGAGGGCTGGTGTAAGTGGGCAGGGCCAGTAAAACAAAAAAAAATTGATAAAACCCTAATCCTAATCTGATATAGGTTTTAATGGGTCTGAATACACATGTATGCTGTTTACCAGATTAACTGAAACTATATTTTCAGAATAAATCTTGGGTGACAATGAAAAAGAAAAAATACATTTAAAGACTGATAATATCTGGGGCCTGGTTCCAGATGGTTTGGGGACTTTTCTAGATTAGAAAATGGCTAAAGAGCCATTTTTAGTGGTTGCACAAAGATGACAAAATCTGACAAAACTATTGTTTGTTTTTAGAAGCACTCTTTTATTTTGAACCACAAATAGGCTACATAATTATCCTGACATCAGCAAAAAGGATGTGTGCATGTTTTGTTTCTTTTCAAGTGCAACTGTTTGTTCATGAAGCAGAGAAGAACAAGTTGTGGAAATACAATTTGCTATGAAACCATGACATTTAAGCACGTTTCAGATTTACTTTTCACTTTATTTTGTAGATAACAAAGACTATGATGCATACTTGTCCTACACCAAAGTGGATCCGGACCAGTGGAGCCAGGAGACCCGAGAGGAGGAGCGCTTTGCTCTGGAAATCCTTCCAGATGTTCTGGAGAAGCATTATGGATACAAACTCTTCATTCCAGATCGAGATCTCATTCCAACAGGAAGTAAGTCAAACCAGGCTCTCTTTACTCATGTTTTTACCAACTGGCTGCACATCTGTTACATGTTTTGTGAAGTGTTATTCATTGTCACCGTCTTGTGTTTCATGTTTTCTGCGATAAAATTATTTTAATTTAGAGGTGAAACAGCAGTGAATTTTCAAATATATACAAGACCATTCATAGTGGATGGTGTCATGGTATATTGAATATATATATTCTTGGCTGTGCATTCATAAATTCCATCTGAACATCCCCTGATGCGCGCTCCTCTGTTAAGCTGTCTGTCAGTGGCACAGCGGTACATTGCTCTAGTTAGAAGCTGCGCAGTGTTTGTACTCAGGGCTTCATGAGGAACAGATAAAACTCAAACACACACATCCGACTTGGGTCCAGACAGAATTAAACATCAGTATGAAAAGTGAGGAGCCTCTGAGCCCCGCCGACTGAGCTGCCGACTTCCTTTAATCAAAAGAAAATTGCCGCTAGCGTCAGTGCCAAGCCAGAATCATTGTAGATGAATGTCCAATCAGAGGAACATGGTATCTGATTAATCATACTTGAGATAAGAAACGGGCTGAGGGAGGAGATGTGTTTCACCACGGTGTTGTCTGTTTGTGTGTGCAGTCTTCCTCCTGTGACTTCACTGTCTAAATGTTTATGTCTTAGGTCTCACCAATGAGCATTACCCGGATGACACCCGGCTCTTTGGAGGTACTTGTCCCCAGTCTTTTTCCTCTTGTATCAGCTGCTGTCATTTCTGCTCCTCTCTCTGGAGATCAGCTTAAAACACATTGAAAGCGCTTTTTTTTTTTTTGGTCATTTGGATTTCAGAGTATCTCAGCTGTCAAATTTCAAGTTAAAATAATTCCCATTCATTACTGTTCTATAGTGGTGACCCCAAGGTCATAGAAGTGACAGCAGAGCCATTTCCTGTCAGTGTTCTGTGTTGTGTGTGTACATGTCCTCATCTGTGCCAATGTGGATGTTACTCTTAAACAGCTGTTACTGAATATACTCCTGGTTTGGTCCAGTAATTGTTGTAAAATTCTAGACAGAAGGCAAATAAATCCCTGAGTCATGCAGTGGGCAGTGCTGCAGTTTTTACTTTGTGGGCTACAATAATGTACTCTTCTGATTTCTTCAACATATTATCTAATACACTATGTTCTGTCTTTATCTCTTCATTGCTTCAGCATACATTGAGGACGTAGCTCGATGCGTAGACCAGAGCAAGCGACTCATTATAGTCATGACCCCAAACTACGTGGTGCGTCGAGGCTGGAGCATCTTTGAGCTGGAGACTCGGCTCAGAAACATGTTAGTGACCGGAGAGATTAAGGTCATACTGATCGAGTGTGCTGAGCTCAGAGGCATCATGAACTATCAAGAGGTGGAGGCGCTCAAACACACCATCAAAACCCTCACTGTCATCAAGTGGCACGGCCCCAAGAGCAACAAGCTCAACTCCAAGTTCTGGAAGCAGCTGCAGTACGAGATGCCCTTCCGGCGCACAGAGCCCATGCTGAGTCACGAGCCGGCTCTAGACGTGAGCGAGCAGGGCCCCTTCGGAGAGCTGCAGACAGTCTCCGCCATCTCCATGGCAGCTGCCACATCCACAGCCATGGCCACGGCCCACCCAGAGCTGCGCTCGTCCTTCCACAACACCTACCACACCACCATGCGGCAGAAACACTACTACCGCAGTTATGAGTTTGACATTCCCCCTGGAGGCACCCTGCCACCCCTGTCCTCTCTGGGGAACCAGCACACCTACTGCAACATCCCACTCACACTGCTCAATGGACAGCGGCCTCCAGGAAAGAGTCGAGAGCACAGCCTGGAGGAGGCCCACGCCAACAACGCCATGCTCCCTCTGCTGCCACGAGAAACCAGCATCTCCAGTGTCATCTGGTAGAAGCGCGAGTGTCTGCAGACAGCTCAGAGGTCCTCGGTCTGACCAGGAGAGCTGTCACAGACCGTATTACTCACATGAAATGATCCTTGGGATCCAGAGGGTGCAGTCTGCTGGGACTGACTGGGAAACAACAGTTTTGGATGTGTCTTTTCTATGTGGACCACACCTGTGCAGCAGGTGGATTTTTCTATGTGGAATTACAGGAAACACTGTTTGATCCAACAGTGAATCACAGACATGTAAGGAAATGAAAGTACTCAATGGCATTTGTGCACACTAATATAATCCATCTCCTCGTGCATACACTCAACTAAAGGAAAACAGGGTCCTGTACATATATTTCAATTTATTTGTAGCATCAGTGTTTTCCTATTTGTCCTTTCATTTGTCTTTCGTTTTAGTCACATTTGTTGCCTTCACAACTGTAGGACTTTGCTTTATCTTGTTACTCAGAATTGTATATTTTTTACAGTCATTTTTTAGCTGTTCATTTTTTAAGTCACACACGAACATGTATTTTTGGGGGTATTTTCTTTTTTTACATTGTGTAGTTTACATGAACTTTAACACCTTCAGAATTGCCTGGACAATACTCGTGAAAGGTGTATGTTGTTTCAAATAATTCTCTCTTTAAAAAAAAATCATAGAATATGCAAAAAGACGGAGGAGCGGGCCGAGTGTATCAGAGTGGACCCAGGTGGAGCGGTTGGGAGGCAGTGCTAGTCCTCTCCAATCACACAGACTCACAAATCTCTCTCTAAAGCTTCATATTTTCTATTGAAATAAACAGCCTTGCTGTTTTAGAGTGATAGTGAAATGCCTCACCTTAAAAGAAATCTGTAGATTATTTTAAAAAGAAGTCTATTTTTATAATGGAAAAGAGTTTGCTTGAGAAGTCATACTTATTTGCGTTTCATTGATCATCAAAGGGGTTTGTGTATGTGTAATGCTGGTTGGTTTTGTACACTTGCAATGTGATTTTGGTTTGTTCGGACATTAAGGTGGTTTTTGAGACCGACGCCAATAAATACTCTGTCCTCTACTCTCTTAGATTCAAAAGTACAGCCTTTCCAATGTTTTGATTTGACCAACATACCCATCTTCCTCATTCCTTTGGTTAATATGGATACTTTATGTTTAAGGAAAGAAAAGAATACATTTGTGTTTTGAGAGACTTTTAAATATATTTGAAGGTGTGATTTTTGAGTATGCATAGCAAATAGATATGTATTCTATATAATATAGATATTTATATAAATATATAAACACAATTTTCACTTGGAAAGAAATGTCTATCTTTATAGAAACACAATCATGATCAGTTGTCCTTACTTTCGCACTGCACATTAAAACATTGATTTCTTTTGATGTTTTTTTTTTTTTCCTTCTGTGTCCTTGTTTGACCATTTACTGTCACTAAAGCAAACAGAATGCATTACTCTTTAATAGGGCTATTACACTCAAATATTCATTAGTCGATGTGACCTATTTAGTGATGACTCAAAAAGGACTAATGATAGATCGACCCTTTGAGTTGGTGTTTTGGCTGGAAGGGCTGGAGCAGTGAACGCTGCAAAAATCATCTTGTACAACTCGTGGCACGGCGCGTCGGAGCACCTCTGAAGTACGCGGCGTGCCCCTCCTGCTGCTCTCGTGAGGAAAAAACACTCCGCTCTCTGCGCTCTGATCCCGCTGACGGCACACAGTAAATAACTACAGGTTCAATTAGTTTTAATCCTGCTACTGAACCGAAGCCTGGGGGACAGTAATGCAGCGGGTTTGTAAACAGTTGTCTCATTAATGAAATTTATGTCTGATGTCCCTAATAAAATTCTCCACAATATAAGGCCTACGATCATAACTTAGGCTATATATTTTATTAGAAAAAAGGGAGTCACAGTTAAACACTACATTGTAATGAACTAAACGACGTCATCTATCCCCATTATCTTAATACTTCAGTAGATGGGGAAGATGGGGGGGCTGTTAGTTGCTTAAAGCTTCGGAGACTTTTTTGATGTCTGGTTGTGTTTGGTAACGTAAACACGGCAGCAAGTGGAGTGCTGCCAAATAGTGCCCCCTCCTGGGGATTTAGCGTACCTACAAGGGGTTTGTGATGGAGCGCGGGTAAACACTGAAACATTACTGTTTTCCCCAGAACCCCACGGGAAGCCACATAAAAAGAGAAACTGGGGCAAAGAGAACGCACCAGGACACAGTGTTGGAGCAAAAGTGTAAGAGCAGAAGTCAAACAAAAAAAGAAAAAGTAAAGAGTTGTCAGTTTTGAGCGCGTGCTGTGAACGTTTGTTGGAGGAACCACTGGGATTTTTTGGTCCGTGTTTTTGAGTACAGAATGCCTCTGGTGTATACGTTTTTACGCACAGCAGTGTCAGCCATAAGTTGCACTGATAGTCAATGTTGGAGCTGGCAACCCTCTTCCAGACAGATGGAGTTTTATTAGCAAACACAGAATTAATAGACTATTTATTACCCTGGGCAATTAAGGGCTTAATTGAAGGGAAAATGGACTCCACCGAGACCAGTGAGAAGAGCTGACAAACAGGACTATAAGATAAGTTCACTTCAAACCACCGTGCGTGGGTACACGTGCGCCCCTGTGGACATGTACCTGTAGTACCATAATGTATCTGAGGAGGGAGTTAGAGGGTTACTAATGTTTTAATGTTTGCCTCTAGTTGAAGAAAACTGGCGGTGCTTTACACTGCACAGGTTACACCGACGCGGATTCTTAAGCACCATTGGACTAGACGGTGTAATCCCTATCCAATAATATCCAAGCACATTATACTTATAAAACATCACTGAACCTTTGCAAAAAATTAACACTTAAATTGGTTACTCTTTTGATTTATGATTTTATCAACTACAAATCTATTGTATATAAAGACATTCAAAGGGCTCATATTACACTGTTTTCTGTTCTATGTTCTAAACGTACCCGGAGTTGTGTTTTGTTTCATTCACACGTTTAAAAAAAAAAAACAAAACAAAAACAAAACAAAAAACTTGCATATTATGGATCAGTTCTGCTCTCAAACAAACAGTAAACACTGTTCCACCTTGTGATGTCATGTGGTAATATGGGAAATGCTCCACTGTGCTTTTAGATTCCATACACTTTCACTAGAATCATTTGGATGATTTCAGTCTGGCAATTGCCCTACTCAAGTAAAAGTGAAAGGAGCTGTTAACTTGAAAACTAACATTACATGACATCACAAGGTGGAACAGAGGATTTTGAGCTTTGGAGATGTAGACAGAGAAATAATACAGCGTTCAAACTAAATGAAAAAACACAACTCTATGTGGCTTAAAGCACACAAGAGTCAATTTTGTGTAATATAGGACCTTTAATCTTATGTATTTAGTGGATTATTGAACATTCTGTGGTACATACTGTATCTTAGATACAGTAGATACAAAGTGACATTGTGTGTTCTTGGGTATATAGTGATTTGTCAGCTCCACCTAAGCACTTTTTTCATTTTTAGTGATTCAAGCTGGCAAACATTTCCCTGTACAGATTTTGTCTTAATATTGTACTGCACAGGTACACAAAATCCAAAAACACAGGTGCAATGCCAGCGCTACAATATCGCCTGCAGTTTGGGGAAATTGTTTTTTTTTATCTGGACCACTGGCAAAGGTGGAGTTCTGTTGCACTCTGCTGGTGTAAGGGGGCATTTCACAGCCAATCTAAATGCACCTGCCACTTTAGAAAATGCATTTGAGAAAAAAAAAAAACTTGTGCTGAAATGAATGAGTGTGACTCAGATTATTCAAGGAGATGTGCGTCATTTGTAAATTCAGTTATCTCCGCTTGCGTGTTTTTCATATCTGCCTACTGAACAAGATGCTTCAATATCTGTCTACTGAGCAACATGCTTCAAGTGCAAATGTGTCAGTAGTGTCAATGATGCAGATATATACTATACAGAAATGAGGATGGTAGCAAGCAATGTTGAATTATTTTTTTTATTAAAAAAATAGTTTGTATAAAAAAACAATAAGTTATGAATTTCAGCAGCTGCATTGTTTTCCTCCTAAACATCTTGCATTCCATTTTTGTAAAGCGCACTTACACCTATTATAGTCCATCACTTGTAATTTCAGCCCTATGCCTCCTAGACAGTCGTCCATTTTTCCAACCTCTACTTCCCATAGAACATCTCCATGAGCACCTCCTCAATGTTCACAGCCCCAATGACTGGTCTGAAGAACAGCTGTGCCACCACAGGGGGGCTGATGGCTCGGAGCATGGACAGAGCGATGAGGAGTTTGGCAAAGCGTGTGGAGTCCTCCCGGTGAACCAAGCGCACATGTTCATTCAGAGCCTGGTGAGCCTCACGCCGCAGGGACTGGATGTAGTGCAGGCACCGCAGACCCTCCACGTCTGAAACAGGGAACATGAGGGATACATGAGAATACTTTGGAGAGAGCACTGTACACAATAAACTTGAAATTTAACATTCACCTTTTGTTATAGAAAACATACATATTTTCTGTTATATGAATATTGTTAGGCCATAGAACTTGTTGCATATTCAGGGCTTTTATGTGTATCTCTTTTGTGTCCATATTTTTATGTTTTTGGCCATTTTAAGTATATTGATAAGTATATTGATTTATACCGCCACATCAGACACAATTACGAAGTACCAGGTCCTGGCACATAAAGTTGAGAGTAAAAAAAATCGCATGTATAACTCAGGTGTAAAAGCCTAATATCTGAGTTATGACCTACCTGGGTTAAACAGCACAGCCCCCTTCAAATAGGCGTATTCTTTGGTGCTGATATCCACACTCCAACACGTCTTTAGAAAGGCTTTAATGGATTCGATGTCCACCACAGAGACCCCGGCTGCAGCTCTGCTCTGCCCTGCCAGAAGTTCAATTTGTCGGTCTGGCACTCCAGTGAGGATCCGCTGCAACATGCTGGGCTCCACGGTCTCTGTAGTGTCAAAGTCCACGCGGTCCTG